CGATCGCTTTTGTAGGTCGACGCTTCTGTCCCTGTAATTTTAGAAAATCCGCCAGGTTTGCTTATTTCAAGTCGTACTTCCGTTCGATACTATCACAAAATGTTTCCGTCCTTCTTTGGCTTTTATGATTATTCCACTGAGAAACGAAACAAATCTGCGTAGCTGTCATTCACGGCAGAAGTGCTGGAAGTGATAATTCGCGGGGCGCATTTTGTTTTGAGAGTATAGATCTAGACTTTCTAATTTTTTGCATCTGTCAAGATGTATTGCTCCATTCCAGTAGAGTGTAGTAGGTCAATGACTTTCAGTTGATGTTAATACACCAATCATTCCTTTCATCGAAAGGGGGCCCAGCTAGTCATATTTATTTCTCAGCCAAAGCGAACCAGAAAGCCGCCTTACCTTTGGTGTCAATATGCATAGTTTTATGGCTCCGGCAACTACATAGATCTAGTTTTTTTTCTTTTTATAAAGTTTTGGTAAGAGTTTTACGGCACTTGCAACACAATGGTGTCATATACGTTCCGAAGATTAGAGTTGTTACAAGAGAGTAACAAACACAAAAAAGGAGGAGGAGATATCAGGACGATATATGTTTGATAGAAAAGAAGAAGCAAGCCACACCAGAGCTACCGCCAACCACCCGCTACTACATAAGGGTCTCACCTCTGGGACGATGTTTGTCATGGTGAAACATTCGCAGAAGGCCTCGCAGTCGAATGGGTAATTCTCTGGCTGGGCCAACAGACCCATCTCGTAATCCGAGTCGCAGTAATCCCGGGCATCTGCGCGATGATAGCCGTGAATACGGCAGTCCGGGGTGAATTTGGGCCTGTCTTTGTCCTCATTGCTGGAACAAAAAAATACCTGAGAGGTTAGTTGATACAAATGTATGAACTGGAATTGTCAGCCAAAAACTGCCAGAAAAAACCCAAAACAAAGACACTTTTTATATCTAGATTAGATTAGATCTATGTTATCTAGATCTATCTGCATTCTGCTCACTAAAGCTAACAATTTGCAATAAAAGCCTTCATGATCTACCCAAACAGTGAGGCTTATTCATCACGTTTTTGTGTGTTTTTTTTTTAAATTTACCTTCAAAGTTCCTTTTTGATGGGTTTTTGTTTGGGTAGTCTATTGTTTTATTCCGTATGTTTTGTTTCGTAACTTTTTTTGGGTTTTGTTTTGTTTTGTTGTTTTGTTTTTGTTGTTGTTTTTGTTTTTTGTTTTTGGGGTTTTTTTTTGTTTTGGTTTGTTTGTTGTTTTGTTGTTGTTGTTTTTATTAGGGGGGGGGGGGTTCTGGGAAAAGGGGCGCTTTTGGCATTTCGATTTAGCGATTTTGACCAATCCTCCCCTTGCCGCCCTTGGGCTTATAGATCTAGACTCTAGATCTAAGTCTAGATCTTGATCTAAGATACTGTTGTAGGCTGGACAATTCATAACAGCTTGAGGGTATCAAGTCAAGTGTATGGAGTATGAATTTCTTGTCATTGTCGTCTTTGTTGTTGCTTAATAATCAATATGCTTCTTCAATCTTAGGCAGAGGAGTCTAGCTCTGAGGTACGCTCTGGGGGCTAACGACAAGGCTTGAAACTAGCCTAGACTAGATAGATCTAGATATGTAGATCTAGATCTAGATCTAGATCTAGCAGTTTTAGTGCGGCCAGACACTTTTTCGTTGACGTTGACGTTTACGCTGACGATTAAGTCGGTTGAGGCTGTAGAAGAGCCTGTTCGACGATCTGTCTAACTAGATTCTAATCAGTCTTGACAGTCTTGGCAGTCCTGGCAAGTGGGGTTGTAGATCGTCAGGAGATCCTTCCAGTATTCATCCAAACGTCTCTTGAATGCGTCCACTGTTGGAGCTGACACCGATGACTCGTGGAGATTGTTCCAAATAACATTCACCTGATTTTCAAAGAAGTTTGCCCTCACACACGATCTGCTTCTTTGCTTCTGGAGCTTCTCTGAGTTGCCAGGGAGTTGTGTGGTTGTTGCCTTTGTAAAAGCTGGTCTTTCGGTGATGTAGCCTACACTTAGATTAGATTTCTTCTTGAGGTGCTACCATCCACTGCTTCGTCCATAAATATTCATTATCATTGTCTTTGCTGACTTTAAGGAACTTAACATAGATCTAATATAGGATCTAGAATCTAGATTTCTATAGCAGCATCAGCTTCATTATTGACTAGATCTAGATCTAGATCTAGATCTAGATGTAGATAGATCTAGGCCGAATGGCTTTTGAAATAAATCATTTTGAGGCTAGCCTAGGTCTAACAAACTTTAATAAGAAGAAAAGTTCAATATGGCGGCGTATCCATGGCAATCGAATATTGCCATGACATTTTGAGAATCATCACTTCGAACTAGTCTAGCCTAAGCTTGACACCATCCCTACAAAAATAGCAAATGTACTCACGTCTACAACTAGATCTACGTCTAGGCTAGATCTAAATGTAGATCTAGATCTAGATTCTAGATCTAGACACCTATTTTTTTTTAAAATTCAAAGTCCGAGGGCCTGAGATCGAGAGAACCAAGTTCGTATGGTCACCATGGAACAAATCACACAAGGAAGGCGAAGGTCATCGTCAGTATTCGGCGCATCAAAATAACCGTTTTCAAAATCATAATCAGTGATCGTTTCTGTATCTAATAAGGGCAACAGACGAAATACATTCTTCACAAATAGGCCCTACTGTACTTCAAACACGATGCAATGCCAGATTGTAATGGCAGATAAAATCCGAAGGACGCCGCAGATCTAAGGCTCAGGTTATATTTATTTATTTAAACTGCTTTGGTGAATTCAGGGGAAAATACGATGCTGCAAAAGAAAATAACTTTCTAAGAATATTGGACTTACCTTGCGCATTGGTTTCTTTCCACCTTCACTCTCCTGTCACAGGGATCATCCTTGAAAAGCTTATCATACTGGAGATGTTCGTAGACCCAGTTGGGAATTCTGTTCCTCGAGTCATAAGAGATGATAAAGTCTTTAAATCTCAAAGGTTTGCAACAAGCAGTGGGCTGAGGAAAACCAACCTTCTTCTTTATGACATCACCAACATATTTTGGCTCTTTAGCACACTCATCGGCTTTTACTGAAAGACTATTCAGACCACCATGGGATTTCAGGGCGGCCACACTGCTAAGACCACCTACTGCAGAGCACACAACACGTGGAAACATGGCGAATTTTGTAATTTGACGACTTCTGTGAAAAATGTAGGTAATCAAGAAATTTAAAGGCTCACCAGATGAGCAGCTGATAAAAGAAAAAGCAGCCGGTCGTGCAACCTAAAATTTGGTCGCCCAACACGCTTGCTTACTGTTGCAAGTTAGTACCTAGATGTCAGCGCTTATAGGTATGACGTCATGTTTGATTTCCTTGACAACGTGTTTCCTAAGCATTCAGTGACGTGTACGATTAAATGCGTGCAACGAGAATGCGAAAAAGTGTGCAGTGACTTTCCCCAAATAATGACGCGAATGCGTTCAATGGGTTTCGGCTTTTATAAAAGTAGATCTAGTCCTATGTATTCTTGTACGGCAGGTGACGAGGCAAGATTATTACTGCCGACATGGGTCACGTGCGTTGCTTTTTGAATCGTTATAATTAGGCCTATTGGAATTGGGAAGGGTCTCTGTGACTACATCCATCCATTTCCCCTTGGTCTTCCCTTTACTTTGAATCTAACTAATTTTATTATATTGCTCTTTGAGGTTGGCTGTTGTGGCCCCATTCTCATGATGGTTCCAAACCGTCTGATTTGTTGTTTCTTGGTGCATTTTGTGCTCGATCCGACGCCCACCTGTTGTCTGCTGTCTTAGTTTCTTTGTCTGTCTCTTCGTGTGATGCTAAGGGTCTTTCTGAAACATTTATTCATTTCGTAAGCGGTTATGACACTTTGCTGCGCTTTGTTGAGACTCATGATTTGGCATTAACAGCAGAGAGTTGGGATGAAAATTGTTTTGATAAGTTATTTTTTGTCTCCTTTGGGATGTTTTGATGGTAGAGATCGGTTATTTGGTGGGTGACCATACTTGCCTTTTGTGCGTGTGTTTCAATTAGAGTTTATTATTTCTCAGTCCCACCCGTGGGGTTCCCGCGGCCCTGTCCAAGAGACAGGGAAGCAAAGAACCGGACCACTTTATCCATGCCGCGCATGTCGTAGAAGGCGACTAAGGTCGGTTGGGCAAAGGGTTAGCAGCCCTTTCCCGCAAAACAAAAAAGCAGCTGCAAAAACGTCAACAGTAAAAACAATACGACCGTCAGTTTTGAAAGATGGAGGATTGTCATCACCGAAAAGAGGAGAGAATAAGGAGCATAGAATGATGCAGGATGGTGAAAGCCGAAAGGAAGCCACCAAGCCGAGAAACCTCTTGTCGACCAGAAAAACCACCAGAATTGCCACCTGGAATGTTCATACAATGTACGAGGCAGGGAACGCACTGCAGGTACCATCTAGACATATTGGGTCTCCGTGAGAAGAGATGGACGAATGCAGGGGAGTGCCAACTTGCTTCAGGGGAAACAATTCTCTACTCTCGACATCTGGAGGAAAATTCGCCACATACAGAAGGAGTAGGTATTCTTTTATCATCACAGGTCAAGCAGTCATTGATAGGATGAAAAGCAGAGCGTCCGCGACTAATATCAGCCGAATTCCGTTCTCAGAAGAAAGACATCAACCTTCATGTTATCCAGGGATACGACCTCACCAACGATAAGGACCAGGATGTGAAAGCGACTTTCTACAAAATGCTTCAAAATACTGTTGATCATGTTAGAAGGAAGAACATCTTGATTGTAATGTGAGACTTCAACGTTAAGGTTGGCAGGGACAATGTAGGCTTTGAAAAAATCATGGGGAATACGGACTTCGAGTCAGAAACGAGAATGGAGAACAATTTGTAGAAATATGTGCAACAAATGGGCTCATGACAGGAGGAACTGCTTTCCGACGTAAACAGATACACAAAGCAACCTGGGTGTCTCCAGACCAACCAACTGAAAACCAGATTGACCACATATGTATCAACAAGAAATTCAGGATATCAATAAGGGATGTTAGATTTTACAGGGGTACAGACGTAGCTTCAGACCATTATCTGCTCATTTCAACAATCCGACTAAAACTAAAGCAAAGACAGGGGATTGTCAATCATAGGTGCCGGTACAACGTAGAATTTCTGAGAGAGCCATCGTCAAGAGAGGAGGTTAATGTAGCAGTTAAGAACAGATTCCAAGTGTTGAGGATAGCATTAGGTGAGGATAGCAGCGTGGACGAAACATGGGAGGCTATAAAAGAAGGCTGGACCACGGTGTGTCAAAAGGTACTGGGGGAACGGGAACGTGAGCACAAGCCGTGGATATCTGCCACCACTCTGAGGAAGATAGAGGACAGGAAAAAGAAAAAGGATCAGGTATACAGGAGCGAGACAAGAGCAGCCAAAGCAAAGGCCCAGGAAGAAAACACCAACGTAATAAAGGATGTAAAAGTCAACATACGGAACGACAAAAGAAACTAGCTATGTAGATGACCTGGCCCGCGAGGCAGAGGAAGCAGCTGGGGCAGGAAATATTAGAGGACTGTGTGAAAGCACCAAGAAACTTGCAGGCAGATACATGTACAGGAACGCAGATGTGCCAGTTAAGGATAAAGAGGGAAAGCTTCTCACAAATCCTGGCAAACAGAAAGAACGCTGGAAGGAGCATTTCATAGAGCTACTGAACAGACCAGAGCCAGAAAAATAGCAGAAATTGATCTTGGTGTGAGTGAAGAAAAGTCTAGTTCAGAGGAGACCAAGGAGGTGATAAGACACCAGAAATCAGGCAAGGTGGCCGGCCCAGATGGAATTACCCCGAGAAGTTCTCACAGCGGATACCAACACTGCTGCAGGGATTCTTCATGGCAAGAATTGCCACATGATTGGAGAAAGGGATTGCTTGTGAAACTACCCAAGAAAGGAGACCTGCATGAGTGTAAAAACTACAGAGGAATCATGTTCCTGTCCATTCCTGGGAAGATTTTCAGTCGTACCATACTGGAAAAACTGAAGGAAGCCGTGGATGTAAAACTAAGAGAGGAGCAGGCAGGATTTCGTAAAAAGAGATCATGTAAAGATCAGATTGCAACTTTGAGGATAATAGTGGAGCAGTTCACAGAGTGGAACTCTTCCCTGTACGTTAATTTTGTCGACTACGAGAAAGCTTTTGACAGTCTTGATAGGGACCCAATATGGAAGCTCATGCGCCACTACGGAATTCCTGACAAGTTCGTGAGATTGATCAAGAAGATACATGAGCTGCAGTGTCTTATTTGGAGAGCAGCAGACAGACTCGTATGGAGTGAAAACATGAGTGAGACAGGGATGCCTGCTATTGCCTTTTTTCTCTTTATTAGCAGTGGATTGGATAATGAGACAGAAAACTTCGGGACAACGCAGTGGCATACAGTGGACCCTTTCCAGTCTGTTGGAAGACTTGGACTTTGCCGACGACTTGGCACTTCTTTCTCACAGTTGGGCCCAGATGCAACGAATGACAGATCGCACCAGGACCTTCTCCCGTAGTGTTGGACTCCATATTCACGCAGATAAAACGAACGTTCTTCGAATGAATGCAGCCGACGTTCCTATCACACTGCAAGGGACACCATTGACGGATGTTGAATCCTTGACGGATGTTGAATCCTTCACCTACCTAGGAAGTGTCATCAACAAGACAGGGGGAACAGACGAAGACATCAAGGTCAGAATCCAAAAGACAAGAGCAGCATTCATCATCCTCGGATGGGTGTCTAAGGAACTGGTGTTGAACACCAAACAGAGGATCTTCAAAACAAACGTGAAGACTGTTCTACTGTATGGTTCAGAGACATGGAGGCTCACAGCAACAGCAACAAAGAATCTGCAGAGCTTCATAAATGTATGCTTAAGAAGGATGGTGGAGTCACAAATGCTCAACTGTTTGAAAGAACAAGCCAAAGACCAGTAAAGGAAGACATACAGGTGAAGAAATGGAAATGGATTGTGCACACCTTGAGAAGACCCCCGACAAGCATCATCGGACAGGCTTTTTGGCGTGGAATCCACAAGGAAAACGTAAGACAGGAAGACCAAAGATGACATGGAGTCGAGCGGTACAAGCGGAAATGGAAACTAGAAAAGGATGCACAGGACAGGCTTCGCTGGAGAAATGTTGTTGATGGCCTATGCTCCACTGGGAGTTAAAAAGGGCAAGAGAGAGAGA